AGCGAGGAAGGATGGAGAAATTGATCTCTTCTTACCTATCTGATCGCTCCATGACTTTGCTGGTACAGACTTCTGCAGACAGCAGGGAGGATGTGGGATGAAGCAGTGAAAGGGGAGTGCAGAGAGTGCGAGCTGCCCCCAGAGAAGCAGAATGACAAGCGCTGCCCTTGAGGCGAAGCACACAAACTGCAGAACACACAACTCCCACAGGCTGTTCCTCACCCGTCTGCAGACCCTCTGCACGAGGCATTTTAACACATCAGCACCTTCAGGTTAGGCCTCGTGCTGTCTTTCCTTGAGATCTGTCGGCGAGATCCCTCCTCTGGCGCACCTTCAGCAATAACCCAAGCCACAGATAATAACAGAAAATGAGGAAGAACACTGACCACAAACCACACAGAAGCCACTGAAGTTACAGGACGAGAACAATACTGTGTTATGAATGTAGGTGTGTGAATCACGAAGCCACAACGCTCCACTTTAAGGTGTGCACTCAAAAAAAAACTCCTCCGGAGGGCATTCAGAGCAGCAGTTAAACTAGGCTCTTGTTCCAATGGCTCCAACAAGGTTTCTCTTTCTTCCTTTCCCAAACAAAACAGATGAAGATGACCCTGGGGAAACTGAAGTCAGCCTCTGCAATTACCCACCCTAATAGGCTTACTCTGGCATTTTCACATCTCGGGGCACAACTGCTTTATTGTTTTCCCCCTCTACAAACTGCACTGAAAACATTGATCCAGCACAGCATTAGTGATTCCAGGGCAAAACAGGTGCAAGTACAAGGTGTATCGTATCTATCCACCCTCCCCCAAAATCTTTCAAAAATAAATGATGCATCATAACCAGAATAAGAAGATTGAAATTTTTTATTTGTACGTAGCACATACAGGAAAGATCAAAACAAATATTAAAAGAAAACATTTGTAAACAAATATATTTCACAAAAAGTTATACGCTATCAAATTTGCTCTGAAAAAATTCATGGTTATAGCTGTTTATAAATGTATATTTATCAAAATCAAGTTAAAAACTACTTCATTTTTAAAATATCCCAAATGAAGGTTCATTCATTCCAACAACTCCAGAGAGACCACAGATGTAAAGCCAAATTAAAACAAACGCGTGACTAAAGATGGCACTATGATTTCCAGTTTAAAAAAAAAAAATCGGCAAGTGATCAAAACATCAGCCAAGCCTATGTAAAGGCCTAGGTTTGTAAAACACACATTCAACTTGTCAAACGTCTAACTTAAAAAAATAGAGCTATTTCACTGGATTGTCCTCATCTTGTAGTGTACCGATCACGAGCTGCGTTTCTGAATCCACTCGGAGAAAAGTTATCAGTAGGTAGTTTTATGCGATTGTATAGTTCGCTGCCATAATCACATTAAAAATAAGACGACAGCAGCACCCTTTCAGCAAGGATTCATTTTTAACATTCTTGCCTTTATAGCAGCAGGTATGATTTTGGGGGATGCTGTCAATATAAGCAGTAAGTCAAAAAAGGAATACACATACTCCATGAAGTTATGACAGTGGTCTGTCCCTATACTTGTTTTCAAAGTTAGGCAAGCACCTCTATTTTTGCTGCAGAACACAAAAATTAAAAGCAAATGACACCCAAACCTATGACTAGCTCAGGAGGCTCCCTTTGTTGGTGGTCCACAAGCTGTTGTGATTGCCAGTGTGAATTCTGGTTTTTCCTCCCTCCTATCTCCTATTTGCGTGTCAGCTAAAAAAACCCAAAGTTTCTCAAACTTCATCTATTAGTTTGACTCAAAAGAAACACGATAATAAAAATAACTAAGGCACAAGTGGCTGATCTTCAACAGCAGGCAGAGGGCCACAGATTCAAAAGTGTGGTAGAAAGTAAATCCCCAGAACTATTTGTGGTCTCGGTGCACTGAAAATTCTTACCAGCTTTCACAAAAGATTTTTCAAGATTTTTTACAAAGATACTGAAAATACTTTTCCCAAGAATGTCCATGAACGCTAAACAAGGATGGATGTACGTACAGAGACACACACTTTACACACGATACACTGGGAACACACCGCAGACAGACAAGGACCATGGAATGCAATGATCGTCTCAGATGACAGGTGAAATGAAGATGACTGCTTTTCAGAGAGTCGTCATGAGTTTGTCTTGGTACACCATGCTTTGGACTCCTCCTAAATTCTTCTGGTTCTGCTCCTGGATATATCGTAAACTGCTGTCCTCTCCACTTGTGGGGGGTTTCCAATATGGCCTGTCATCGTGATAGGGTGGCCTGTACCATTTGCACAGTTATTGGTTAGTGAGAGATGGAAGCAAACACACGAGCGCTGCTACACAGTAACATGAGCTCACCCAGCAAGCGCGAAGCACGCGCACGGTGTGATGGGCAGCTACCAGCAAGGGAAGGACACGGTGACAGACCTGTCGGTCTGACGCAGAAGCCACAGGGCATCTTTTAGTTGATTTCAAAAGGCTTTGAATCGGAGCTCAGGCATTGCAAACCCTCTCTGTTTTCAGGTGTTACAGACCAGTGCCCTGCATCAGTGCTCCTGAATCCCAGAGGGCAGCAGGGAGGAGCAGGCTATAGCAAAACTAACTGCGTACACCAAACAAGTAAAATAAACCATACCATGCAAAAAGGTGAGCTCATGAAAATACCTCCCTAAGGCCCAAAAATTAAGACAGGCAATCCTATTAAGAATGAAAATCGCTCTCCTGTGAATGCTGCCATTCCTTCAGGGCTGGTGCAGTTCATTACACTGCAGCAGCTCATAAAGTTGCATTTTGTTAAGATGAACACCTAGAGCCTATAGCTAGTACAGGTGTTTCTCTGTGACTGTGCAGCGCAACATGCAAAAGTACTACGAGGAAAAACATTTTTTCCTTACTTGTTCATCACTTCTTGCTGCTTAGAGATATTAACCTCAACCACTCCTACAGTGTCTCCTGAATCATTGGGGGGGGAAATAAATAAATAAAATTTTTGAACAGTATGTAGGAAACCACAATATTTAAGGTTCCCTTATTACCAAACTGAGGTCGCACTTTTTATTTCGGATATATTCTAAAGTTATATAATGACAACTGTTAATTGGAACGAATTTTCTCAGAAGACTGCACATTAAGTTAACTGCAAACACGTAATTCCACTGAAAAGATTTTACTAAGAAGACTGAGACACAATTCCACATACTATTTCACTAATTATTCAACAAAACCCACATATATAACATGTATCGCACAGGTATTTTCATTTCAGCCCTTGGCCCGTTCTACACTTGCATGCCCAGCAGAAAGAATTTCATGCATCTGTGGTTTGAGCTCAAATTCATAGTTGGATGGATTAAGCTTTTCCAAATCAAGCTATCCAAGATGTTATATGTCCAACTCTTTCACTTTCACTCCAATTTACAGTATCTTGAAGCTTCCACCTTAACCACACATTTAAATGCTTCTACCTGCACTGAGACAAAAATTCTGAGCACCTTTTCTACCAAGCTTGCACGACTGAGCTTTTAAGTATGTATTTGAGGCTTACAAGCCTAGCCATAAAAAAGCCATTGTTCATATTTCACTGACCTTAATCTTTGCACAGGCAGCAGAGGGGCTGAAGGGGGAGGTTGTCTACACGCATTACAATACATTATTGTGCTTAATTCAATATCACACTGCTCCAGGGTGAACTATTTGGCTTTAAAATGTTACAGACCAGTACAATAAGTGAAGAAAGCTTTCGAAAACTGTCGGCAAAACTGCAAACGATTTATAAAATCATTAACCTCTCTTGGCAATCACTCTTCTGTAATGTGAAATTGTACATTTTAAATCACATACAAAAAAATGGACAAGTAAACCCTAAAACCAGGACTAATCTTGAACATGAAGTACAGGCAAAGTTAATTACCCAATTTAAACTGTCTTCTGTTTCTAGCATATATTTAGCGTCTGCTTTACTGCTGTATGCTAGGAATTTTCAGACGGCAATGAGTACGTCTGCTTCTTTGCCTAATAAGTATTTCTAGTAACATATTTGCCTTTTTCCTGCATTCTCAAGACTCCAACTCGGGGCCAAATTGTCTGTTCATCCATTTTCAGCTCAGCCTCATCTCCAGAGCCTGCCTACACTAAGAACTACCTATCCTGATGTAAGAGTATGGAGATAAAAATGTAAGATGAATAGCAAATAAAGATTAGGGTATTGGTATTTTCCAGCCAAGACAGTAATTGTTTGTCTAAAAAAACGAGTAACCTAAAAAGGTTACTTTTTATTAGGATGAAATAGCTGCTGATTTTTATCACGTGTACACACAGACACATATCCACCAGCAGGTGCGTGCCTCCACTGTGCGTTCCACCAAGGCGGTTCTAACTTGGACTGAATTTCTTTCAAAATTTCTTTTCACTCAGTTTCTCTCATTACTAGTTACAAAATAAAAAAGTATGCAAGAAGATAGCACAATAGCACATACAGGAATATGTTGGTGAAACAGTTCTCAAAAAATCAATGTTATGATTTCACTAATCATCTGTAAAGTGCCTGATACGTTGTTCCATGTACACATTATTTTTCCATATCCATTTCTGCAAAAGCTTAAAAAAGTGCTGCAGTGCAACAATCTGTTCACTCATAACTTAACTTTATCCTAAAATGAGCTTCTTCTGTATCTTAGGAGATTAAATACTGATGAAAATGCAGTTTAGTTTTCCTGAAGCTACTGAGCATCTTCCCATCCAACATACTCCCTACAGAAATACACTAAAGTTGTATTTTAAATTCTGAATTAAAGATCAACCTGAAAAAAAATTATCATCCAGGAGATTAGGACATTCCAAAGCAAAAATCTAAACTGAAGTTTTTTAATACTGCCTCTACATGACATATGTCTAGCTTCTGTTTGCTTTTCATGGGCAGAAAATCACCCAGTATGTCCAATAAGGCTTCACGCCAACAGATAAAGAAAGAAGTAATAATCTTTTTCATGAAGTGAAGATTGCTTACCTTACATTCACAGGTGTGTGTGGATGCCAGTGTGGCTGAGGAGGATGTATATTAGGATGATACTGTGGCTGCAAGTGAAAACATTGAACCTGGTTAATGAAATCATGTAAAAACTCCCGATTAACTTTAAATTATTGTTTTCCTGGGGCCATGAAGAACATGCTCCCTGCGAGCCCTAGAAACCCCACTGTTTTGGACCTTCTCCCATGCCATTTAGCATATACATGAGACCTCTTGGTGATGAGCTTGTGCGTTAGGACACACTCCCGGGAATATGCAAAGAAAATTGCTTTTCTGTTTGAGAGACAACCTGGCACATCTAGCGCTTCTCATAAAAAGCACATCAAAGTAATGTCAGCTTTAATCAAAGGTGCAGAGTGAGAAAGGTTACTATAATAATAGCAGTCTTCAGGAGGTCACCTATCTTTGGTGACAGCATTTCTCTCTCATATCCATGACATCTTCAGGAGAAACAGTGAAACAAAATCCCCAGAGAGGCTTTTAATAAAAATCAGTGTTAAGACTAAGTTCACATGTATACACTCAGTTTGGATGAAAGCACAGCTTGCTTTGTCAGCAGCACCGACTGCTAGTATCACGGATGAAAACTGGCTTAAGTTTTTCCTTGAAGTGTATAAATGAGCTTGTTTCAAAAAAAACCAACAAACAAACATTTGACCAGCAACAAACTCCCTAAGTGTTGTGATGGGGAAGACAACTGCATCTTTGAACTCCTTGTCACGGATCATCCAATGTGAGAGGCTGCTCTAGACAAAAGTGCTGCTCACAGAGCAGTCTCCTGGGGTCCATCATATTGACAGTCCCAAAGGGTTTAACCTGCGATTTCACAGAAAGGGAAGGGAAGGGAGAGAGGGTGGCACATGGAGTATATTCAGCTTGCAGAGCATTCAAGAACACAGAGGAAGAAAGACAAAAGAGTCCCTCCACTTTCCCCTTAACTCCTGCAATGTGATGCTGTTTATTTCTGGACCACCTCAGAGAATCTCACCCAGAGTAAGGAAAGGGGAGCAAACCAGCTGTACTAATTATAGAGAGCAAAAATATTTACCACTAAATAAGACAGCAACAATATTCTCCTCAATAACTGTTATGCTCTTACCTGGTAGTTATGGACTTCAGGAGTATTTTTAGCACTAAGGGAGAAAAAAAATTAGTGTTTGCGTAATCAACACATCTATGTCACAATTTCCTATAGTTCAGGGTTCTACTCTTCAGGGAAGTATTACAGTGAAGTAGAATTCATATTCTTAAGGACATCAATATTTTATTCAAGATCTACACCACAGCAATCAGGGTGCCAGAAAGAGGGGTGCAAAATTTTTTTTCTTCATTTTACATTTCTGAAACAGGAACATATAATGCTAGGTAAGTCAGCATAATAGCAACGAACAGAAAAAAAATATGCTTTACTTTAGTCTGATCTCAGACATAAAAAGAAAAAAAAAAAAGGAAGCTCTTAAAGCTCTCAGCAGTCCCCGAGAAGAATCTGGTACTGCATAATGAGAGATCCCAAAGCAATTCACCCCACACCAGAGAATTTGTTTTGACAAATCCTAATGCAGAAGTAGTCTTCAGGATCCCATTTGCCTGATAACAGCAATTGAGAGGTACAGGAAACTTGGGCAGTCACTTACCACAGCTGTGCTGCTTTCACAGGATTGTTTGCTTAAAAAGAAAGAAACAAAAAAACCCCTTAAGACAGGTGAAAAAAACTTAAGACGTGAAATATCAGTCATTTTGCAGCTATTGTGATTGGGATGTTACGCTACAGCTTAAGCAAATCCTCATACAGACACATTTGCACAAATGCATCAGAATTGCAACCGCAGCCCTGCGCTTTCCAGTATTCCTGTGTGAGTACACAAAGTATGGGGCGGGCACGAACCTCCCTCTGTTTCTGCAAGAGTCAAGGACCAAGAAAAAAAAACAGCAAACAAGAGTATTCTTCCCAAGTGTCACAACAGCAGGACTTCTGGCAGAGTTCTTCATAACCACAGCACTGCTTTTCTCACCTTGCTGTAGCTACCACGTCAACACCATTGAGTCCCTCAGAAATCAGAAGCTACCCCTTGCAGCAATTTTGCATGTTACAGAAACCAGAGTACCCCTGAAGCTGGTAATGGCCTGTGCCTTATCACAGCGAATGACGGTAGCCAAAGCAGCCCATTAGTTGGGAATACGGGAAGGCACTGAGCGACCTTCAACAACAAGGTCTTGGCTTGTGCTTTGGACAGGCTGGAAAGGATGGTGAAGAAGGAAGCTCAATAACCGGGACGTATTGTCTCTTCTTCCTGACGAAAAGCGTATTTTTCAATAGCACTGAAACACTGCTGGGTGATACAGCTGGAAATCCAAGTCTCTGCTGAACGCAGAAAGTGGATGTCAAACTTAACAAGACACTGCAGAAGTCTCAAAGAGGCTGAGCTAGGACAGAATCCACTGCTTGCAGGCTGCAGCTGGGTACAGCTCTTCATGGCCAAGAGAGAATACACTAAAGGGAGTTTTTGCATTAACTTAACAAAGGTGCTGTTGAGCCCTCTGGGGGGAGGCGATCTGGGTATGACAGAATTTCTGCTTGGCTGCTACGCAGAGAAGTGAACTGAGCATAAGCTGCACTTTCTCTCTTCTCCCCCCATCTCACAGATGTAAGTATGGAAGCATCAAGACACAAGGTATAACCTGCAGGTCTGACCAATCCTGTTATTGTAAAAATAAAATTAAAATAATCTATTCTTCCATCTACAAAATCATCCCTGCTCACCGTATAATTGACTGTCACGTATCACATAACAGTATCTCACAAATTTAACAATTTTGCATTTCCGTAAACCCCTGACATGTACTAAGGAAGGCGGAGGGGAGGGGTCACAGTCCCTAGGAAGCATGCATGCTTGCTAGCCTTTTCCCTCCACTGTACATGAGAAATACAAGTGTCCCCAAGGACATTTCATGGAACTGAGCTTCATATTCTAGGAATGCAAGGTCGTGCAAAGACTTCCTAAGGGAATGTCAGCTCACCCTGCTCCATACAGCAACTATGCCTCCAGCCTCAAGTAATACAGAATTTAGAGGGGGCTGTCTTGCAGTGCTCCTTCCTAGGTTTTTCTACAAGGAATAAAAACCTCAGCTTAAGTTTTGAAGAACTAATGACAACACCACAAGGGATACCAATTCCTTGTCATTCCATTCAAATTCAGCACAATTCAACTCCCAGAGATAGCTGGTTAAGGTCAGAGTCTGGATAGATGAATAACATGCCCCTACCATTAGCAAAACAGCAACAACTGCACAGTGAGACTGCTCAATAACCCTAAAACTGCCAGGCTAGGCAAGCAAGTCAGCGAGGCTTTTGGACACTGCTCCACTCTACGTGATAAATGCACTTTTTCAAAGAAAACGTTACACACTTTCACTCACTGAGTTCGATGCAACTTTTCTTCCCTCCTCAACTAAGCAACAGAAGAAACCACAGGTACCTCCTTCTCCATAGATGGGGGATGGAAGAATTAAGTGCAGAGATTAAAAATTGTAGATATGAACAATAGACTCTGACTGTGGAGGAAAAAACCCATGTAGGTTCTGATTTTTTAGGTAGCCTGTCACGTTTTTCTTTTTTTTTTTATACTGTAGTACAGATTTTATGGTTGTGACGTGACATTTATAGGAGTTAACAGGACACTTGCACGACTGATTCAGTGAACGCACGTACAAACACTTACCCTTAAAAGTTGAATGCCTTCGAGAAGGATATCGCTTGCTGGGCCTTCTTTCAAACGTACTAGTTCTGCGCAATCTTGTCCCATGTGTTGCTTGATACTCTGTCCGCCCACTTAAAATGCGGATACAAACAAAGTTAACTACTGCCTTTTGCTGGATGCTGTACCCACTCCTTTGCATAAATACAAATACATTGCTGTTATTTTGCCAAATACCTGAATCTGAAGCGTGATCCCAGCCTTATGAAGTCGGATCTACTGGATTTACTATTTGCTGGGGCTCGCAATCTGAAGAAAGCATGGTGCTCCACTGCACATTTCCACAAATGTTTGCACGTTTTGGCACTGTCTAACCGGAAAACAAATGTGTGCTCTTGCTCTCTGCCCTAAATGCAGAAACAAAAGCTCTGGAAGTTGGCATGCATGATATTAGTTACTGTCCTTGGTAGGAGAAATACAGCCTGGGCCAACAGTGTGCTGAGCCTCCCATGTGTTCTCACCAGCCTGAGCACACACCACACTGCTGGATCAGGCCCAAGTAAGTGAAAAAAGTTACCTGTTCATCATCTTCTACAACCACAAGTGTTAGTTTGCTCTTTTTAAAGTCCATTTTTGTGATTTTAGGCCTAAACACAAGGAGCAAAAAGGAAATTAATGAAAAAATAGCATTTTGTAATCTAGGAGAATCCTCCAAAACGTGTGAGTGAACTGCAATCGTGGAACACTTCAGCAATCATAATAAAAGTATGATTTCTTGGAAACGTGACTATTTTTCAACAAGTATTTCACATTTGAGTGTCGTACTTCTAATCAGCCCAATTTATCTTCAGATTTAGCCTTGTAGATTCAATCTACATTACAAAATATAGCCAAGACCCCATTATGCAAAGGAGAAAGATTTCCGCATTTTAACAGAAAGGAATATACCACAAAAACAGATTACCAAAAGAATAAGCCTATTTTGTTGGGTCCTTCAAAGATCAATATGCCTGTTGGTGTGAGACCAAGAGCATATTCACAGCCATCTCTTCCCTGTAAGCAAGCACAGAATCAATCATCAATACGTCATTAGCAAATCTTACTATGGTACTATGTCAAAATCCATAGATTTTAAACAAAACAAGGTTTGCACATTTTTTGTTAACATTACAGAGCAGAAGAATATGCATCTGTATCAGGTGCAAACTGGCAGGTTTTGGCAACAGGGGGCTGCAGGGTGCCCTGCACAGAGGGGGCCGCGTGCTGCCCCAGATGCCCCTTATGCCTGTGGAAACTTCTGAGGGACCACGGCCCAGGGGCAACCCACACAACAAGAGGGACACCCCTGGGGGACTGACCCACTCCAGGGCAGCGACAACCCTGAGGGGCGATGGCCCACGGGTGCCTCACGCTGGGGCAGGGACAGCCCCGAGGGTCTGCAGCCCGCAGAGAAACCTGACTGGGGTGGGGACGGTGGCCCATGGGTGACCCACACGGCAGCAGAGGAGGTGTGAGAAGCACAGGCAAGCAGAGGAAAATGGGTGAGAAGCACGAAGCAGCACAAAGAAACTGCTGTGCGGATGACCCCAACCTTGCGGGTTGCCTTGGGAGGAACGGAGCACAACCCGCAGGGAAAACATGGGGAGGTGACACCAGGAAGAGGGAGGAGAGGTGCTGGACCCTATAAGGGCTGCAGAAGGGGGAGGAAAGGTTTACTGTCTTCTCTTTTTTGGTCAGTACCCAAAACAGTAATCACATGTTTATGTTAACTGGCAGTGCATTAAATTCAGTGAAATTCCTGGAGTCGAGACTGTTTAGCCCAAGACAGCACCTCCCTTCAATGTTCTGACCCCACACTAATAAAATAAAGTACAACATGGATCTTACCTTAACTACATGCATATCTACACCGTACATTTCTAGCCATTTAGCTTTGTTCAAGTAGCACAATTCGGCCTGCGCTGGGCTCTTCCCCCTAAGAACATAAAATATATTTATACTTCACCATATTAAATTTTTGTCTGTTTTAAATGTTTTAAAATTTGTTCCCCTATCCCTTTTCTTTGGGCCCTCAGTCTTAATGACAGTAAATGGTGCTTTAAGTTTAGCTTATATTTTTACTCTCTGCCCTCCAAATGAAAATTAATTGGGAGAGATAAAAATTGAAAAAGGTTTAAACTTGCTAACAAGGATGAGAGCTCAAGTAACTCAGCATCAACAAAACATACCATATTTATTAACAAAAGACAGGAAAAAGCATTTGCAACTACCCTGATTACAAAACTTTGCGTGCAGGCATGAAAGAAGGAGAGAAATAATTATTTCCAACATGACAGAAAAAAGATCAGACTGTTTAACCTGTTATGAAATCATCTAAAGAAAAACAAACAAAAAACTTGAAAACTCGCCTCACCAGCTTTCCCTAAATTACTGCTTGCCATTTCTAGGGAGGGGGAGGGCTCAAAGTCTATCTACAATGCTTCTGAATTGACAAACACAATCACCATTTTACGTCTGTTGAAGGGGTTCTTGTGGACACGTTTGACTTTGAAGAGAAGA